TTTATGTCTCTGATGCTGTGAAGCTCGATTTGCCGACATGTTGCTGTATATAGTATAGAGGTACCACCAGGCAATGCGGGTTGACGCTGGGGTTATCTTTTCTTCACGGATGCTCCGACAAAGGTGAATCTGCACAACTGTAATTAACACTAACAAGCGTGAATATCAGACAATTTGCATTCCTGGGACGGGCGGGGGGAGAGACAGTGAGGCCCAGTGTCTTTAGGAAGGATTTACAATTCATTTCACCACAGCTGGAGTGCACCCTTATCTCAACCACCCCTCCCCCAAAACTGAACCTCCACAACCAACAGCTTCTACTCGGCTTTGGAATGTCAGGGATTTCTGTTCGTACACTGTGCACGGTTTCACTGACATTTGCAGTCTCTCCAATGCTGTTACAAATTTCTGAAGAAGGGTCTAGACCCGAAACGTCAGCTTTCCTGCTCCTCTGATGCTGCTTGGCCTGCTGTGTTCCTCCAGCTCCACAACTTGTTATCTCCGTTTCCTCAAACCCATGGCGCGCACTCTCAACACCCTAGCCCTGCCATGCACTAATACCAGACAAAACTCAGGACGAACATCGCTGCCTGCAGTGTTGAGAATGCTGCTTGCATTTATTAGCCGTGAATGCGAGTAGATTTACATACGAAAGGAACAGCGTTGTAAGGGACAATTCACACAAGGAGAAAACCGACGGGATATTTACTTGAATTTACTAACGACATTGCGTTCAAGTTCCTCCCTCCTGTAACTGCTGCATCTGACTGAAACTGTCTCTGTCAGCGGCAATATATTTTTTTAAAAACTATTTTCCCCTTTCTTGTTGTTGGTTTCCTCTCTGCGCTTTCAAAATGCATTTTTCGATGTGTTTTTGTGCGTGTGATAGAAAGCGGAACCAGCGGGATCACACGCACTGAGGGTAGTGAGAGAGAACTGGTCTCCACGTCAGGAATAAAACGCTCAGTGCCACTTCCTCGCCAGTAGCACTTTAAATATAGGTACAAGGGAACACCCCGCTTCTCGCCTGTTACATGGGTCCTTTAAAATAAAATACTGCAGAGACAACAGTCCCCAAAAAGCTGTTCATAAACACGCACCCTGTGTGTCTGTGCGGGTGAATGGAGCTTAAACTTCACCGCACACCGCTCCTTTGACCTGAAGCTTACCACTAACGTCAGACACAATGTTACCTGAAAACCTCTCGGCTCATAATAAAGGAAACAGAAGAGCGAGGGAGCGGGGTGTTCCGCTTTGTGTCGCTTCTACATAACCACCAGACACTCCAAGCCATGTTGGGACGGAAAGGGAAAAAAATTCAACTCGGGATGTTCTTAACATTTGAGACAGGGAGAATCAGAAACAGCGGATTACACTCAACAAGACTTGGATAATGGATCCTTAACCGACCCTGAGTTTCATTGTTAAAGATTATTTGGTTTCAGCGTTAACACAGTCTACATACCAACTGGGCTCATTGTATATAAAAGCATTGCAGTTTGCTGAACTTTTAAGCAAACTTTTAGAACCCATACAATCCTTTCCTCTTACCAGTTCTCCCCCTTCCCCCAATTAGATAGGCTACATTGCACCTCGCAAACTCTCGTGGTTTTGAAAAATCATTGGTTTACAAACAGATTTCCAACGACAAATCGATTTTAAGCGATAGAGAGAAAAAAAGAACAAATGAAAGTCCAGCAGTATGATGAAGAGAGAATTGGTAAAGGCTGCCTTACCCGAATGGCCGTGTACTGAGACCGGGGACGAGAGGTACTTGGCCGGCGGCAGATGAGTGCCAAGCGCCGAGCTCATGTGGCCGGCGGACGGGCCGATTCTGCCGGCCTGAGCGCCCACCCTGTGCGCCTCCATACCCAGGCCGGTAAGCAAGGGCGACGGGACGTGGACTGTACGGTGGTGGCCAAAGTCTCTGCCATCCATAATCGGAATCCTCCCCAAACCTGGTTTCGGAACTAACCGTCCCCCCCTCCAACGTTAAAATTCAGGCTACAGCGCCAGGCTCTCCAAGCTTGTGGTCAGGATTCATCCGAGACATTTTGAACGGCATCTGTACGGAAAGAGAGCCGAAATATTACTCAAAAAAAATACTAACTCTTCACCGCGAACGGCCACTCAACTCTGATTCATAAGGAAACATCGCTGTTATTAGTTTAAGGACAGAAACTAGCTCAAAACATTGCCCCTTTGTCGATCTTCTCTCTTAAGAAGAAACTGAAATTTAAATTCAGCCTCACGTTGCTACTACACGGTCTGTCGAAAAGCCTCCTCTTTGTATAAACATCTATTTTATTCTCGAAACGAAACCCTGCCTCACCTCTCACTGTATAACCCCAACATGAATCGCTTTTAAAATGCTTCTGTGGGAAATTGTATCGTGTTCGCTACTCCCCCCAGAACGCACCCTCAGTCTCCAGCATTAAAAAAAGAGAAAAGGGATTTTTTTTGCTGCGACTAATCCTCCCGGCTTTATTTTAACTTTATAGCCCCCGAATAAATGCTCCGAGTGTCGGTACATCTGTCGGCTATTGATGGTCGTGTAGAAAAAAATCCAAGGGTAAACACAAGCCCCTCTCCACATAAAAACCAGGAGTAATCACATTCAGCAGCTAAAGGTAATCATTCAAAATGATAATCTTCCACATGTTTTTGAAACATTTTTAAACCAATTTAGGCTTCACATGTTGACTTTTAAAAAATGTCACCAATAGGTAAATGCAGAGACAGCGTAACTCTAGAGATTATGTATCTGCTCACTGCAGTTGTTTGTAAGACAGCTTATTTCAAAAATAAATAACATTTATCCCCTCGTCATTTAGCTCAACAACTCCAATTCCCACGTCTCGTCCCCGATTGACTGCGTTCCCTTCTGAAAGCGCATTGCTGCGTTTCCAATGTGAGTTTCTAAAAATCCCAAGTTCATTTACAAATGACTGATGTCGCCCGATATACGGTGCAGAAACACGCAGATGTCGAAGGCAGTAAAATGCTTGCAACTCGTCGGTTAGCCGAGAAAGTTATTCTTCTCCCTACCCCGCAAAAAAAACTAGAAGCAGACACATTAACTGAGACCATGTTTGGATATAAGAGTGGTTTTTTTTTCTAAAAAAAAGTATGGAGAAGTCTCCGCCAACTGAATCCTTTAGGAAGCTGGCTTTAGTTTCCTAGCTTTAGTCTGTACTTCATGGCATGGTTTAAATCCTGATTTTAATTAAAAACAGTCAGTTGATCAAAGCTTAACATCAACTGCAACCACCAGCCCACTCCCCCTCTCCACTTTTGATAAAATGGAACTTATTTTACTTTCAGATAACTCCGAACCTTGCTACGCTTCCACGTTTGACTACTTTTCACTTGCCTTCAGCGAAAAAGTCGGACTTATTTCTACAAGAATGGCACATTTGCTCCGATGGTCTCACTCGGCGTTACTTAAGCGGGAAAGGAAAACAGCACGAGTTTAACGCCAGACATCAAACAAACAATCCGACCTCTGTTCCAGGAACGTCTAGGGTCCAAGTGAATCTGAGTTCCCAATCAAAACTTGTGCGAATGCCTGGAATAATGGTTTGCGCGCCTTCCCATTACTTCACATCTTTACAAACACGCTTGACTGTGCAATAGTTTAGAGAAAGGAGGGGAAGCAGAGACGTAAAACTTTACTCACGTCTTTGGACGATGCAGACTGCTAAGCAGAAGTCCCCCACCCCACCCCCAGTTTTGTTTTAAGTCCAAATTTTAGGTGAAAGGAGATTGTGGGATCGCCATGCAGAAAACAAAATACACAACATACAAAAAAACCCTCTTTCAATTCCTGCCAGTCTCCCAAACTCTCTTTTTGCAATGAAATCCACATTGTTTGTCCTGCGCCTGCCCCCTTGTCAATCACCCCGTGTCAATACGTCTGCCATTGGCTGGAACGCCTGTCCATCATCTCTTGTAAACACGCCTCTGATTGGCCCGGAACCAGCTCCCCCTCTCGCGACGTCCCTGAAAAACCAATTAGAGAGTGCGGGAGGTTTCAAGGCGATCCTTTGTCCGCCAGTGAACGATTACAATAGGGTTCCAAGTGGCACCGTTTCCAGGCTCCCCCCTCACTCCGCTGGTGAATGATCAAAATAGTAATCAGAAGCTGGCGAGAGGTTTCAAGCTCCCCCCATCCACAATGCCAGGGCCGTGTGTTTTGTCCCATGCTCATCGCCAACCCCCACCCACTCCACCGCCATCCTCCAGCGGTTTCAAGTTGCCCCAGTTCCACAACACAAGGAGAGGGACTAAAATAGTAATGAGCTCCCCCAGCGCCAGGGGAACTGCCGTCTGAATGTGTGTGTGTGTATGTATGGAAAGAACTCATCTGAATATCTCCCAGGCACGATCGCGCCTCGCCAGAGAGAGAAAAGCAACTTCTGGACGCCTCGTCAACATTGTGTTTGTCTCAAATTGGCGACAGGACTGAGAAAGAAAGCGAGAGAGGGGGAACAGCATAGAGAGAGAGAGAGATTGGGGGACTGGGGAGGGATAATTAAAGCGGGGTGACTGGCGTAAGCAGAAGATTGTGAATGATCAATGCAACAGGAATGAGTGACAGTTTCCTTCCAAATTATCACCCCTTCGCCCTTCCCCTCCTAATGGGGAGAAAAAACTTTTTTTTTAAATACTAGGAAACCGCTTGTAATTAAATGCAGTTCGTGTGCGTGTGTGTGCGCCAAGGATACTAAAACCAATTGGTTACGTTTAGCACGCCGTGTGATTTCTCCCTCTCCCTACCCCCCACCGTCTTTTTCCTGTTTTTTCCACAGTCTGTGTGACTCATTGTTTTAAACACTCGGATGCAACAGAAGCTGTAATCTGATTAGGTATGTACAATCATAAATCGCCTGGTTAGTAACGTGCACGTGTCTTTGGGGACAGCGGTTGCTTTCAGTCGACAAGAGGTTCGGTTGGGAATGTATTATTTGAAAACTTCAGGTGTCCTGTGTGCAGCTAGCAAGTAGTGCAAGAGCCGTCTGATTGAATGCAGTGAGATTATTTGGTCAGTCAGTTGGGAGCCATGTTGAGGAATGAAGGGCAAACTGCAAGGTTACCTCACTATATTTATTGTCCTATATGTTTATCAGGCAGCCATTTAGTTTGGAGTTCGCCCTTGACTTGAAGGCTTTGTTTAAAAAATGTGATTTGCAAAACGCCGTGCCGAGTAGCATTTACCAGCGAGCTACAGTTCGCTACCAAATGCATTCCCTGGCTGATATTAACAACACGTGGCAGGGAGCTGGCGTTTGCAATCGACTCACATCTTTGTTGGGGGGGGTGGAAAAATCCCAGCTCGTAGACTTTCTCCCCCACCTCCTAGTTTACACAATACATTCCTTTTCCCTACGTGTCGCATACCACAAATAGCTTTCGCTTTTCTATATAGACTGTTTTTGTGTGTGCGTGTGTGTACCCCCCAAAGAAAAACACGCCCTGCTTGCAGATTCAAATCGTTGCTTGGCAATGATTCCGCATAACATAAGGTTGAGAGGATAGAAAGTGCTGGAAAACAGACTGCGCCCAAAGTCAAAATTTAGTGATTTACTTGGGGGCGGAGGTATTGGAAGAACACTTTTTTTAAGGGGATTAGTGCTGTTTGAGGGGATTTTGTATTTTTTTTCAGATTGCAACGCGGCTGTTTGAAGCGTTAGATTAAAAAAAGGTTTCCCAGGAGGCGAGTGAAGGGTCAGCAGTTACAAGAGGAGCTCTCTTCTTCCCTCCCCCATCCCAAAGGCCTCCCTCCCTTTGCGGTTCCAAAGCTGGCTTCCCGTTCGTAAAGGGTCTTGCTCAGGTCTGGTTCCCACTATGAAAAGCTAAAGTGTCGATTATTCTTGTGAAAGGGGGGGAGGGAGTGGATTGCAAGCTGGACACCTTACTCCGTCGTTCGAAGTCTATTTATTTATGTGTCATTGCCAGGCGTTGGTCGCAAGTTGGCTAACTATCACCGTGAGATTTTCACGGACAAAGTGGGTATTAAAGTCAACAATGTAACTGGCGTCAGACGGTGTTGTAGTTCCCCAAAGACCGGGTGTAGATCATTAATGACTGGATTGATATTCTCCCTCCCCCCCTCCCCATCTCCTCTTCACTTCACATGAAAACGGCAAGGCTGACGATGCAAAACCAGCGTTGCAGCTTTAAAACCGGAGGTGAAACGATCACAAAGTAGGTAACATCTTTATTTGGACAAATTGCATTAAAATCATGGCGCGACGGACCACAACTGCTTCCCTCCCCACCCCTGGAAAAAACAAGTGATTTTCAAACTTTACTACAGTCCTTGCCATGAGTCAGGCAGGGCAAGTGTGCAGATGAAGTAATATGGACCTGCAATCTAATGTGAAGGTCATATGGGCGTTTGATTTGGGGAAAAAATAAACCTCGGGCAAACATAACCCGTAACTCTTAGGATATTATCTACAAGGAGATGAACTGAAGCCCAATATATTGTCCAAAGACATTGGCTGCATGGTGAAATGGGAGAAGCCTGTTATAAAGAACTATGGAAAACATTTCATTGGGAGTCAGTCTGTTTATTGCAGTGTCCTATGTTTTATTTGGTAGGGGGGGGGCGTTGATAGGTTAAACATCTTGTATTTTTGCATCGGTTTTGCTGGGTGTCCTGCGTTGTATTTTTCTTCCACCGAAGAAATTTGCTTTATTCAAAAAAGATTATCTCATGAAACCTCCCTCTTGTTTTGGTTTCTTTTGCTGCTCAAGACGTCAATAATTTGCAGAAAATGCGGTGGTTCTGAAGGACAAGTTCACAACTGCAGTGCCGTGTTTTTTTTTAAATTTCGGAGGAAGGTGTAATAGATTTAAATTGGTGCGGTTGAAAATCGCAGTAAGTGGAGTGAAGACACACGCCCCTCCCCCACTCTCAAGTGATTCAATCGAATACCTAGAATCTGAACTGGAGACGCTCATTTAGTAGCGCCTAAAAAGTAAACCGTGTCACCCGGGGAGAACGACAAGGGGGTTTGACACGGTGAGTGCAATCTATGCCTGCAACACACTCGGTATTTAAACGTGAAAATGGAGGCAAAAATGGATGTGGTTAGACTTTCAAAGATCAAAGGGTATTTCAAAGAAGCTCACCGTCCTTGGTGTTCAACAAAAGGTCCCCCATGTGTCAATCAGCATAGCGTTTGCTAATGTCTCTGATTGTAATCTACAGGGACTATAGAGTTGGCCAGGTCTGCAAAAGGAGTTAGAATGAGGATCTGCAGTAGGCACACACTGCAGTCAGCTACTTAATACTGGAGTCTGCATTTCTGCTTGCAAAAGGCAGCCGTTTATTTCAGAAATTTTTTTAAAATTATGAAACGGGGTAGATCAGAAGCAAAATCCACGTGAACTTTGCACTGAGACGCACTGCAATTGTGTGGGTGTGAGAGAGAGCGGGGGAAGGGGGGGGAATCTCTGTGGACATACATTCAGGAACCTTGGAGTGCAGTTGATAATGACTGCTCTGCACCGTGTATATTGGCTGAGGTAAAAGTAATGTTTTCTCTTTGTGTGCGCTCCGCTCATTGATTTCCATCAGTTAATTTTCCTGGATATTTGCAATGCAAACAGTTCATCACGAAGCCCGTGATCGGAGCTGCGCCTGTGACAATAAATCTCACTGGCTGACCACAGTAAATTATATCAGGGCGTTGCTGTTTCTTTTTAAGTCACCTATTTATCACCGTCTGGGACCTATACAATCGATCTGAATTAACACACTGACCGCCTCCTTGCGTCTTTCAGCATTTTGGGGAGAGGGACGCTGGCAGCTAAATTAAAAAAAACCACGAATTATAAATAGAACGTGCGTGTTTGGTTGCTAAGATAAATCTAACCCGACGCGATTTAATGTCGTTCCCCATTCATCATCAAACTCCGCATATCTTTGCAATGTGGCAGCCCAGGATTTGCAGAACAGCCTTGTTTTGCACTTTTGACAAACTTGTCTCCCAGTTGAACGGGGGCGGAGGGAGGATGGTAGGCTTGCAAATATACTTGTGCGCAGCGATCCTCAGAAATCTCCTATCTCCAGCCTGCAGAGCAACCGGACAGAACTGGTTTTGGTATCTGCAGATATGGATGCCATTGTGTACTGTATGTCCTTTCACATTTAACTACCGGGGGGTGGGGAGTGGAGGGATTGACAAAACGAGGCGTGTTTTCAGCTGTCCTGCTTTTTTTTGAAGGCAATAAAACGAAACTCGGAGATAATGAAATGATCCAACGGTCAACAAATTAGCCTTTGACACAATTCTCTCGGTTAAGGCGTTTTGCTGTCACCTCGGAAGAGGTAGCCAGGCTAGGCATGCAGACTAAGCAAACTTTTCCTCAACTGTCGCTGGTCCCAGCTCTGGGCTACATACCAGATGCTTACGGCTACACCTTTAAACCGCTAATGTGTCTGTTTACAGAAATGTGCGCTAACATTGCCCACTGAGTCTTCCAGGACGCTGCTGTGTTGAACTACACAAAAAACACGTGGCTCTGTCCCCCTACCGTGTTCTGTTTCCCCGGCCGAGAGAATGGCCAGGAAGACAGGGTCTCCCCTGATCACAGTAAAAGTGGCAAACTTTCCCCATTTGCAGATTTGTCCTGGTTCCAAAAGCACATCGCCTCTTCTGTCGAAAGACGCTTTGAACATACCTGCGCACCTTTTCTGCAATAAAGCTATATAGAAATCACTCGAATCAAACCAAAATACCGCGGATTGCTGAAAATCTGAAACAAACAGAAAGAAGGCTGGAGAAACTCAGCAGCATCTGGGGAGAGGGAAACGGTTCATGTATAACTCTTTTTCAGAATCAGAACTGAAGAAATCGAACCGGACTCCAAACGTTAACTCTGTTTCTCTCTGTCTCCACAGAGGCTGCCAGACCTGCTGAGTTTCTCCAATGTTCTTTGTGTAGTTTATTTCACACAGAAATTGCGCTCCGCAAGTCCTTAACACACAAGCCAGTTTTATAGGGAGGCCTTTGCTGACATATGCTACCTTATCTCTGAGAACCTGAAAGCTACATTAAAAAATACAGAATTGCATTCAGCATCTCGATTGCAAGGTTGGTCATGCAATGAGACGTTATATTCCAGGAATGCATTTTCAACCGTTTAATAAAAAGATGGCGAACTATATTGGAAGGGAAATGTCAACTTGGAGAACACTCCCCCCCCTACAGTTACAATGACATAATGCATTCATTATAAAGACAGTTAGATCTCAGAAGGTGCGCCGTTGTAATGGTGTCTCCAAGGGAATTCTGACCCAGGGTGGTTTAGTGTTCTAAAGCCGGCGCGGACATCAATAGTGGGGCTAGAGTTGCATCGTTCTTTAGTCAGTAGCACTACAATTCTGGGAGGAGAGTGGACCCAAGATCAGTGTCTCCTCCACCTTACGGCAGCATTGTGGAAATTGAGTCCATCAGTCATTTCCAAAAACGTGTACAAGTCACGGCTGCTAGTGTGCTTTGTTGGATCACCTTTGTGTTTTGGGCCGTGCTAGTGAAGTCAGATAAACAATAAGCCAGAAAAATGCATGCTGCTTTATATCCCTATGTCGCCTGAGAACCATTAACGTGAAAGTCAGGGGCCGAGAGGAGCTAGTATTTAGCCAGTTCTTTAGGTAAAGAAGATACTTCGCTGATAGCTACATGTGGGCCACTTTCTATGTTTGTGCAGCGACTTGTCTTTGGCATAAAGCAGACGATTATTTGCATAATTCCACTTTAAATCCGGATTTGCAGAACCTTTTTTTTGTGTAAAAAAGGTAAGTGGGGGTGGGAGCGGCATCAGGAGGATAAAGCTAAACGGAGTCTTTTCGGGATGAGAACGTTCATTTCCGCCATGAGATTAAACTGGACTGTGCAGGAACTGGGCAACAACCCGGGATCAATGTGTGAATTCACTGCAAATCGGTACTCGTGTTTCTAAGAGTCATTGGCTAAAGTAGGAAGCTAGCTTCATCGGTTTTTTTCTTGCGAGCCAGCAATGTGCCAAAAAGAAAAAAAATTCTTAAACGGACTTTGTCGACGAGTGTGAGTTTATACAAAGTTTCTTAAAACACCCTCAGCACAAATTCTACCAACTGTCCCATTTACTGTACAGCACGTTACTTAAAATGGTAGGGTTCTGATTGCCAATAACATGAACTATGTGTCCTATTAAACTCCAGACAGTGCAAATATATCGTAAGTTTCTCCGTGTAGAACGCTATCATTTTCTTCATGGAATTTTCCTCTTCCTCTCTCAACTTTTAATGACATTTCGATAGAATGACTGAAGCCCTTTACAGAATTCAATGCCCACAGGAAACTGCAAACAGCTTAGCATCCACATTTCATTTCAACGCTTGTATAAGAACGACAAGTTGAGAGCGAATCGAGACCTGGGTGGTATTTCCCCCAATCTGGCCTGAGTGGGTTTGTGGAGAGGGAAAGTGGGGGTGGGGTTGGTATTTGAGCGCCTCGGCAGCTCATCTGAACGCAAACATGTTCTAATAAAAAGAAACGGGCTGCGGCATTAGTCAGAGAGCGAGACTCGAGATATAAGCAACAGGCTTGCAGGGATCCGGCACACCCGTCCTGAATCCCAGGGCCCGCCAGTGCATTACTGCTGGACTTGGTACAAACCTTTGAATTTTCAATCCTATCGGCCTATCGCTGACACAGCTCGACCCAACAACCCCTCGTTAGATAAATAAATCCAATTCCGCTATATTCACCGCCATACAATGACACACACAGCCCCATCACATCCTCTAATGATAAGTCTAAAAGAGTGAGATCAGGTTGTTATAAGTTACCGGTGCTGGGGTCCGAAGCCTCCATTCCTCGTCTACACGTTGACTTTCTTTCTCTGCTTTCTCTGAGTTGAGATAGCGACGAAGCAGCTGTCGTATACCGAGCGCACCTTTCTCCCCCTCTCTCTACTCAAGGATCATAAATCAACTTTGACTCGCATCGTTCTCGACAGCCGGGGATGGACTGATTCAGAAACATTTTGTTTTAAAGTTGAGCTCAGAGGACGGGAGGTGTGGGGGGGTGGGTCTCCCTAAGGTTGAACACAAGCGGCCAAGGATCTGCAGTGCACCCTGATCAGGGCGACCTGGGGACCTGGCTAAAAGCAGATTTCACGCCACATGCTCCGCTCCATCATGGGAAACGCGAGCCTGCTTCTGAAATCGGAAAGCAAACAAGCTCCCTCAGACCCCCCGGCTTCCCATCATTGTTAACTGACAGCGAATGCTGGACAACACCAGCTTTTTACAGTGCCTGCCCCGAGTGCAAATCCTGACTTGAGTTGTAGGGCTTGTTAGAACATGCAAGCGAAAACCTTATTCACCCACTGTAAGCATTTTATATTCAGAGCACAGGTTCTCTTTTTGTATCCTTGTTACTTTAAAAGTCTCTAGACGTCCACCTCGAAATATAACAAACAGCAGATTGTCCCCTAGTGTGTTTGAGTCCCTGTGATCATTTCATCCAGACTTAGTGCTTGTGTGCTTTTTTCTGACACTTTAGCCAGCAGCTGTGGGGCTGAGAGAACATCGCTCAGTTTCTGAGGGCAGCCATAGGAGGTGCTGAAACTGACTCGAAATTGATGGAGTCGCTTGTTGGCGGGAAATGGGCGCAACTCGGTCTCATTCGGCAGTGACTACTGCCACAAGGTATTCTCCAGGCGTCGAGGTACCTTGCTTGAACGCCAGACTCATCCACAGACTTGAATACAGACCGGGGAGTGAATAGTCCCATAGAATAGAAGGAAGATCCGACTCAGGTAGCAGTTTACTTACATTAAACAGCTAATGTCAAAAACAACTTTTAAACAAAATCTTTCCTAAAATCATCGAACAATGTTGGCCCCCACACAAAAAAAACTTCAAACAGAATTGTAATCCAAGGCCGTGTTACACTGATATATAATGCATGGAGTTTGAAACGGAGTGGTAAAGTTTCAACGTGACAAAAAAAGCAAACCTATTTTCTTGAGTATTTATTATTTCCTCCACGCTGTCTCTGTCTGCGAGCGTATGATTTATTATCAAGAATAAGAGGAACTTTGCATGCTGGTACAAAACTGTGCCTCATCTGTTTAGTAATGACTGCCCGATATCAGCTATCCCTGAGAATGAATCATGTCGGGTTAGTGAAAACGGAGTGAGGAGAGAATGGAAGGAGGGAGCAAGCCAGAGAGAGAGACAGAGAGAGAGAAGTGACGAGACAGGGGACGGTATGAAGCGGCTCTACGTATTTCACGGAGTGGGAGAATAAAAAGGGAGTAGGGAGACAGAGATTAATTGAACGGCCTGCTAAATGTGAAAAAAAATGAGAATAAAGCAAGCGATCACGTTCGATCATACAGCACAGAAGTAGGAAGGGCGATTTTAGTCATGTTCTTTATCTTTTTTTGCTCGCTTTACTTGTTTTAGGATTCGTTTTAAGTCTTTGCCACTTGTATAGCTCGCAAATCACCGCCTCGAACCCTTTTCTCTTTATATGTTAAAAAAAATCGCGACTTTCCGGGAGAACCAGTTCAGCATTTTTCTTCTAAACAGAGTAGCGTTTCCTGAAGTACATCTATGTCTGGTATGTCTACCCCACCCCCCACCTCTCAGTCCTGCTGGATGTCTGCATAAGGACACTCCAAAACGCAGCATACCATTTTTTAAAAATGTATACAGTATATAAAGGGGAGAGTGTGATTCCTAATATAAAGCCCACAACTCACTCTGCAGACAAATGTGGTCAGTATTTACGACACGGTGACATTGGCTCAAACAAATTTAACAATCCTGTACTTATTCCTCGGCCCCTCCAGCGCCAGTACAATTTACCTACATTAAGTCCGGTTACCTGGTGATCCATTTAATTGTACTTAATATCAACACATAGTGAAGGGCAGTGTAGCACTGACATCTATGACCCGAGGTGATCCTAGCTCTTTTGATGTCACGGAAATCGATCTATATTTAAATTAATCCCATAAAAGGAAAATTGAATGTGTGCAGAATTCAAGTCACCATGCAAGTACGTGGAACGCGTATACTTTTGTTTCTTGTGGATTTGATTAATTAACTCTTCTTTTGATTTTTTTAAATGGTTGCATATTTTCCTCTCGATTTAAAGGAAAGGATACCGCGTAGTTCCAGTAAATATAGAATCCTAACTTGTGTTACCCTGGGCGCGCGTAATCACTATTTGAACTGGCTTGCAGCTGAACAAATATTCAGGGCAAGAAGAAAATACACATTTAGGAGTCGATATATTATTATTCTTATTGGAGAGGGGCTCCACATTCAACTGTAGATATTTTACAAAAAGAGCTTAGTATTGCTGCCTGGTCGTTGTTAGATGTTGTCTACATATTGTCATCTAATCACTGCTTTCTCTTTATTTCGTTTATTAAATCTGCTCTAAGTATCCAGGTTGCAATTTTGACCATAATGTATTCTATTTTCTACATTTAGATTTTTTTTGTCAAGTCGATAACTAATTTACTTAGACAACAAAAGCAATCAGAGATTGTCACAGTGAGGGAGGCGGAAGGGAAAATAAACAGTTTCTATGGAAGATGCTGATACGATTAACCTCTACCCTGATTTGAACCAGTAGCTGGGCATAAAGTCTATAGCATTCCCAGTAAAATAAGAACTGAGTTGACAGTTATTGTGTAAATAATAGGAATTGATGCTGTTAATGCTTATATGAAATATCAAATCTGATTTTGACGCACAGATTCGAAGGTAAATCGGCTTATTATTTAAGTATACTACTTTCATCTGAATAACTTAATACAAAAATGTGCAAAAAGAAAAAATAGGGATTAGTCTTGACCTGAAACCTGGTGACTTCAGATTTCAGGGTAATCTGTTAAATACCACTGTCGAACACCGATTGCAAAGGTTTTTGTTTTGGAATATCAATCCTGCAGTGTCGTCATAAAACTAGAACGTGGGAATAAACAGGATTCTCCTACTCTGTTAACACTGACGCTAGGATTGAGGCTTTCCATAATTAGTCGAGACTAGGGACCTTATTAGAACTACCTCTGATATAATAGGATTTAAAGATGTCTGGTGGCCGAGGATGATCAGGATCTGCCTGTATAGTATGAAAACGCTAATAGTGATCATACAAGTAGAGACTAATACTGATTAGACGGTAGCAGTGTTCTGCTATAATGCAAAAGCTGACAGTAGTTGAGACGCAATTTGAGATTGGGGACAGAATGAATGCAGTGTTTCTGCTTAATGCTTTAATCATGCCAAATGTTTGTCAGAAAAGAAAAGGTGCGTTTTGAATAATGTAATGATTATGAAGTCGTCAGGCAGATAGAAAATTGATTTTTAAAGCGTTCTGGGACTTGGTAAAGATCTGGAACGCCTAGCTAGCCTTCAGCTCCGCGTTCAGAACATTTCTTTTAGACTGTCCCAGAGCGCGAATCAAACCCAGTGACCCATATTACAAAAGGACAGAGGCAGAGGACACAAGTGGTCGAGTTTTCCATTTGAAACTCCTTGGAGAATATTTGACAAGAGTTGAAGGGGAAGGAGGATTGTGAGTGATCAAAAAATAAGGAGGTGTGTACATCACTTGGTTCCCCGAGCTCTGAGGGGACGAGTAGAAATGTTTAACACGAACTTGTAGCAAGTTTCGCCAACTTGACTCTTTATTTAATAAAGAAAATGTTAGAATTCCTGACCGATTTCCAATAGTTTAGACGCGATTAATAAAGCATAGAGTATGTTAATACTGTTCTACGCGAATGCTGCTTTCAATTCATTGCAACTATCTTTGATAGGTTGATGCTGAACTCTTAATAAGCACATTGTGCCCGGGTCTGCTTTGTTCCAACTGACCTGACCAAATCCTTTTACTTTCTGCTGTTTCAATTTGAGTTTTAAGCATTCTAATTACAGAGGGGCCGACCATTAAGATTGGTTGATTTAAACTTGTCAAACTGACCTGAAATTTGACAGCCTGCAGTTGGGAAACAAATCTCTCTCTCTCTCCCTGTACATGCGGATAAAAAGCAGGGACTCATATACATAAGCTGGTAATTGTGAATTCGCTGATCGCTGGTCATATAGAAGGGTAGTGGCTGCAAACACTTTAAAAAAAGCTTCATTATTCACTTTCTTGTATTTTGAAAATCAACTAAGCTTTTTGCCTCGCTAGTAACTGCTCCCTGCATTCAGGCTTCAGTGCATCCAGATTGTTGCAGCTGGAGAGGGGGGTTAAACTCAGATATTCACATCGTTCTTGGCCGGGACCGGCCAGTTTTTTAAAATCCGAAACAGTGTTCCCCGCGGTAGTCTGAGGGAGGCTTTACGAGGAATGGGTCGGCTCCCGTTTTCTTGTTCAAGCTTTTGAATTAAAAAGTGAAAGCTAAGTTTCCTCAGGTTGTGACGAGTTCTTTTAAGAGGAGGAAGTTATTGGGGAATAAAAGGTTGGGCAGAGACACTGCAAGACATACACCCTGCTTCTCCGAAGGAGCATTGCCCAAGATTATAGTTCACCCCAAACTCGGCCGTTTCAATCTTTATGCCAGACCTCGGGGATCGAGGGTCAGCATCGATCTGCAAATATATGCTACACGTCTTTCTATAAAACCCGACCCCTCTGAAAACTGTCCGGCTTTAAACATTGTTCCGAGCTGAAGGAAGGAGCGTCGAATGTAATTTTTGTTGCTGCTTTCCCAAAGCACAGTCAAGCTTCAGTGAGCATTGGCTCAGCTCCAAACTCAGCAAAAGCTAGACGGTTGGGGGGGGTGGTGGAGGGCGAAGCATAACTGTTAGAAACAGGCAGCCCAACTCTCACGTCTAACAAAGCGATCTGCGCCAAGAATTTTTTTTTGGAATTTGCATTGGACTAGGAAAGCTTGCACAACGCGTGTAGGTTTCGCGTGAGGCAGTTTTACACGCAATATTTTCAACACACACAAATAACGTTATTTTTTGTTTAAAGAGAAACACTCTTTGTTTCTCGTAGCTGGAAAGTCTGAGCTTTCTTGCATACAGTCTGAGCCAGTTTATACAGCCTGCTGCAGTGATCACCCGAACCGAATGGAGACTGCACACAGTCAGATATCTGGCTGCAATTCTCTGCAGACTGCCGAAGCATAGCAACAACGATCGCAAAACAACACAGCGAGTTACTTACTGGGACGCGAGCGCTGTAAATTCGTGGCACACATAAACAGACAAGAGGAAAGTTTAACAGCAAAACGCAACCGCGATTAGAAAGGAATAAACTGGTGAGGGGTTTTTTTTGGAAAATTCCCCTCGCATGTTTTTGTTTTGACTTTTCTTACGCAAAGCTCCAGATCGGAGCAGTGGGATCTGCGGTAGCAATGGAGCTGGGTGAGGGGACTGCTGTTCTATCTCTCTCCCTCCCTCTCCCCAGGGGGCCTCTGGTGTCACTCCCAGGCGGCTCTGGAGCACCGCTTCACCCCAATCAATGCAGTCACCTTCCCCAACACTTCTTCACCCCCCCCCCCCCCCCCACCACATTCCCCCGGGGGAAGGGTGGCTTCGCAAATCCACTCTGAAAACAACATTCCTTTTTCCTTCAAGCGACGCTTTTTCTTACACACACATACACACACTCCTCTTTCAATCTTCAAACTCTTGCAATTTCATTTCTAGCCCTGTCCAGTTTAATATGAATCCCTCCAAAAAGCAAAAAAAGGTCTATTTCTAATTACTTAAACCTCCAACTAAACTCTGCCTAATATTGTCAGCCCAGCGATTGATATTGCTAAGGAGGTGAATGGCTGATTCTTGGGGGTCAGGATTTCTATCTGACAGGGAATATAGATATATATATCTGTTTTTGAAAAAAATTACTTTTGTAAGTGTGCTTGGTTGGATCTTTTTTTAAAAGAGGGTTCAGGTGGTCCATACGCTCCGTACTTTGTTCAAAGGCGAGCAGACTAGCTCCAATCTAGTTTTTTTTGTCGCCTCTAGTGTGGAATGATCTCTGAACTAAACCGCCTTTGACGAGTGTCCTTGTTTCCATCAAACCGACACTGCAAAACCGAAAAGCAAACAGGAATAGAGACGGCAATCTGTCACAGGCTGGTAACTCAGTGGATCCTCTATTGTCAGCCCCCCACTACAAGGTGAAAAATGACACGAATCGCAAAGAGACGTGTCCCCCTCCCCTCCCTCTCGCAGTGGCTGGAGGCCCTGGTTGCATGGTAATGTAGAATTATGATGATCAACGCCTCTATCAAGGCTGTTTGGAATCATTTGGCGGACGGGTTTGTTGCGAAATCAACATAACTGAATGAATGTGGGTTTATCGGTGGGGGGGGGGAGCAGGGGGAGGTAGGAGGGGGTAGGTCCCGAGTGAAGCGGCCCTTCTTTGTCCTTGGTTTATTAAAGCTGGCTCGTCACCTTCCCCACCAACCCCCCCCCCCCCCCCCACCAACACACACACACACACACACCCGGCGTAACTGAGAGGAACCAGTCGTCAAACCTGGTGAGTGATGCCTCTCTGAATATCTCCCTACATTTTACCCGGCCTTGGGCTCTCCAATCTCCGCGGTTTTTCAGAGTCTGGCCACACACCTACAGCTTGGTAGGGCCTGCCGCTTCAGGCAAGACCGATCCTCACGTTACTTCCCTCCTGATCCACGTTAATCCCCTAGCGTTCAATTGTTTAAACCCCCATCCGCCCCACCCTCGCTTATCCAGGAATAACGCCAACAGCAATGTTCCGCTTCTTCGTTAAATCAGTGCAGGAGGTAAAAAAGATTTAATCTCAGAACACCACGACACCCGGAGTGTTAATCCCCTCTCCCATCCCCCGCCATCTGCACCGGCTGCCTCGCCAGAAACCAGAAGGTTCATTTTTGATTGCACAACATTTATTTCTGAACATTGGGGAGGGGGGGAAGATGGCAGCGCCGAGTCGAATCTGATGGCGAATGGACACTTTTGATCAACCGACGCGAGAATTTGGGGTTGGGTAGGTGGGGGGGGGGGGGGGGGGGGGGGGGGGAAGGTGGGGGGAAGGATTGGAATCATAAAGTGGAGCAGCGTCCGATTGCTTTGGGCGTCCCCGCTTTAAGAGTGGGAGGTGATTGCCTGAGACTCTGGGTGTTTTTGTGTGAATGTTTCTGAGCGCTGTTCAGCCGTCTCCAAACCCTCCCTCACGAAAGCAGGGATCAGGAGGGTCGAGGACATGATTTGAACCGTCATATATTTCCAGCCTTTTTTTTTCACACGAACCGATTCTACGAGTTCAGATTTCCCAGATTCCTACTTAGCAAAAGGCGAGATTTATATATATATATAAATACATCTGGGAAATCTTATTTATCTCAACAAAGATATCGTCGTCTTTTGTTTGTTGGCAGTGAAAGGTAGGGAGGGGGAAGGGCGGAGAGAGAGAAGGAAAATGTGTATGTGGGGGTGGGGGCTGCTGGGGTTTTGCTTCTATTGTCTGCAGCCATCAAACGTGTTCTGGTCAGATTAAATATGACCTCTCCTTTGAATAGGCCGGCTACACAGTACTGTATAAGCAAATTCCTTCAATGTTACTAGCTTGTTGTTTTTCAGCTTGAGCGAGTCGTTGCAATGGAGAATTTGCTGATACGTTTCTCAAGGGCATCGTGGAGATTTATTTTTCAATCTCAACATGAACACACGAGCAAGACAGATCAAGCTAATCTCCTCCCAGCCCCTCTCGCTCCCCGCTCCTTTTCTTATTGGCAAAAAAAAGGGTAAGTGCCGACTTTCTTCATAACTGGAAAGGGAAAAGGAGTTTTTTTTTCATAAAGTAGAGGACGTCGGAGCGAATTAAACAGCTTTAATATGCTTTGAGCAGACAATCTACGCGTTCCTTTATAACCCCCGTCATCAAATCGATCGCCTGTCTGTATTCAAGATACGTACGGGACTAGTTTGATGTTTTATACTGTCTCAGCGCTGAGCCACTTTCTGGTTTAGACACATTGATAGATATCTTTAGATTGCCTTGTATTTTTTTTTTCTCAGTGATATTCCTAGGGAAAGGCTAGCCCAATGCAGCTTGAGAGAATGTAACCAGAATATTTTTCTGTCTCTGAACCCTGAGTTCTCTCTGTCTCTCTCCCTCCCCCCGCGGATTTACTGGAGGGAGAGGTCACCCGCAGCTACATTTATATCTCAAAGCTGATTGACACTGACGTCTGGGGAATTAAGGAATAGAGTTGCAGTTTGGGCGTTTTGTTAATCAACTGGAGGGAACGGCAGACAGATGAGAACAGAAAGGACGCCGAGGCAGAGTTGGCTGTCCTGCGGGAGAGGAAAGGATGGGAAGCAGGGATTCAGGATCTGGCGAAGCACCGTTCCTTCCCCCCCCCACCCGCCAACACACACACACACACACACACAGACGAATGACAGACCCACTCACCAGCAGTGACTGCGAATTCAATGCCGAGTGGAAAGCAAAAACTACATTAGGATCCGCTCTTACACATTTTTCGTCTCGAAATAAAACAGTTCAGAAGAGGAATTTCACAGTTACATAAACGCCCAAAATCAGAGTCAGGTTTCAGTAAATCATTATAACGTTTGTAATAATTGCGGTTCCCAATTTGCATAAATATAACAAGGCTGGTCTATTTGAGTTATGAAATCGCTGACAGTTTCCTTCATATCATTCAGAAAACAGAATCATTTGCAGAATATGCGATTTTGTGGCCAACTGTTTAGGGAGTGATCAGAATGTGACGATATTAAAGCTGTCGTTTCTATCCACTAATAATCACAGAATGTAGCTGTTTCGGTGTGAGCACTTGAAGAGAGGTGACCGCTGTCGCACGGTTAAAAACATCTCTCCTTCACTCACTGTAGGCCACGCACTAACGGTGCTGAAGGCAGCGGCACTTTCGGCATTGGGAATGTGACGACGGCCGAAATAAAATGGTGAATTTTAATTTTCTAACTGGGAGCTGAAGAGGCCGTTTGAGCGCGGGAGTGGTTTTCCTCAGGAGTGCAGTTAATGGGGACTCGTCCCAGCAAAAGGTAGGCGCTATGAGAGAGTATGCAAGGGCAGTGTGTATTGACTGGTGTGTTTGTGTGACAGCACGACATAAATAAATCGAAAGTAAAAATGAAAAGAGCCAAGGGGTTGACCAGCTGAGATCTAGATCTATAACTCTTGGTCGTAAAAATAGTTTCATTCAGGCATGAAACGAGTTTGTAAGTTAGATTGCAATATGACATATAGATTCAAAACCCTTTCGAAATACTTAAAGGAATGACCCTTTACCACCCGACAGAAACGGAAATGAGTGTTAAGCACAGCGTCGGTGCTGGAGATGCCTTGACTGGCTATGGATTTTCCCTGGTTGTCAAACTGGATTTAAAAACGGTCAAACATATTCGGCACTGCAATTACAAAGCAGGAGGGGGCACAGTTCGCTGGGGTGTTGGCCCCTTGATAGGAGGGCAGGAGCGATTGCTATCAAGCCCCGTGTCGACAGCAGTGTTTCAGATGTATGGAGTAATTCAAATAAGCACGGAGTGGGGTTATCCCCGGTGTGGGAAGCACTGACGGTAGCAATAAATTTCCTCAATCGTTGTTTCCCTTTAGAGAAAAACACTTCTACATTGTCCATGTACTGTGATTTCCCCCCTCTCCGCCAACCCCCACAATTACCTTCTCCCCACATGTCCCATTACCTATCGGTCAGTTTGTAAAACATTATCAAACATTGGCTGCAATTAGCAGACTTCCACTTGCCAACTAAAAACCGAAAGAACTGCGGATCCTGTAAATCAGGAACAGAAACAGAAGTTCCTGGAAAAGCTCAGCAGGTCTGGCAGCATCTTGTGAAGAAAAATCAGAGGACGGGTCACCGGACCCGAAACGTTCATTCTGATTTTACTTCACTGATGCTGCCAGACCTGCTCGGCTTTTCCAGCAACTTCTGTTTTTGTTCCAATTACTAACATCCGCCTCCTGAAGTGAAAAATGGACATTAAATCTAGTTTTAAATTAGGCCTGATTGTTATTAATTTGAAGAGTAGCCCCTGCACAAAATGAGCGCTTTTGAAACCATCTATATTTTGCAGGGCTTTATCTATCTCCAAATGTTTTCCTATGTGAAGGCACAGAGTCCGTGCCGGTTCTAAGTTGTAGGAAATGTACGTTTGAGTCGTCCGAAAACTTGAGCACCCATCCCGGTTTATTGCCATGTGGTAATTTATGCTTATCATTTTTAGTGCCTCGTTCTTTCTGTTCCGCTATACTTCCAGCCTTTTCGGATCCACTCCCAAGAATGTCCAAATGGGGACATAGTGTTTCACCAGACACTTAGTGCTAAAATCGGCTGACCCGTCATTTTTCCACTCAGCATTTTGCAACAAGAAGGAAAACGCTGGCTAGCAATGTCGTTTGGGATACCACCAGTTCATTTTTCAGAGCTCCAAACAAAACAAAAATATGGCTTTCACTTGTATAAATTTAAAGAATGTAGAGCCGGGAAATTGCGAGTGTTGCCGGAGTAGAAACTGAGCACTCTGTGACAATGACCAACTAGAATTAAACACACAAATACTTGTCGCTGCGCGATTTCTATTCAAACAGAGAACTTGTGGTTGGCATCGTGGAGCGTCCCGCTATCTCAGACCCAACATGACCGAGCTCACTTTATAGGGCCTGAAAAAATATACATGGATTTCATTGAGATGATGAACAGGAATGTTTATAATCAGATTTTATTGTCATTTTATTGAATGTTCGAATCTATATGTGAATACAGAGGGAAATACAAGCACTGGTAGAAAGACGATATTGTGATGACTAGATTTAAAATCTTCCAGCATTAATGTTTGACACCCAGATATCAAATTTATGTAGCGATAATAGTGGAACTGAAAATGAGGCTCCTCACAAATGTCAAACTGCAGCAACTTAAAATATGGTTTATGTAGGGACTGAACATATATACCTTGATATGTACATTAGTGTAGTAATGCAGAGAGATCCACTGGGATGACGAATATTCCCGGTAAAAGATACAAGTATGATGACAAAACGATCTAAACTTGCAGTTATGAATGTACTGTGTGTGTGTGACAGTGTGAGTTTCAGAGAGCGTGAATGAAGCAGAACGGTAGAAACAGTATTAACATAGCTGGGGGATTTCATCTCCCTGGTGGTTTCTCAGCGTGTGGGGAGGAAGTTCAAGGTAAACCCGGGCCTTTGTTATCACAGACAGTCCTTCAGCTCATACAGTCGACCCAGGAGCTGATGCTGAACTCTTGTGTCCTGTCCAGACTCCGGCGTACAGATCCCGCGCCCTTAATGAATGCAGCCTTGTATAATTAAATAATTGACTGTTCCCCGGAGGAGCTATTCGGCGCATCTGTTCACTGGCTCCACAGGGGATCCTAGACAATATAGGACAGGCAGAAGCTGGAGGAGGAATCCCGGCACAGAGCTGGTTGTTTCATCACAGACTCTTTGGGAAAACGCCACCTGCTTTTTAAATGAACGAGAACAAAAATCAGGAAATACTGAACAAAACACATTTTAACATTTAAAACGATGTAGTATTTCAAAACCATTAATTCATTTGTTTTGCAGATGTCTTTAGTATGATCACAGATCTTTCTACTTACAAGCCCAACACTATCCATTAAAATTATTTACACATTGTAACAATTCTGCTTTTACTAAGGAGCCTAGGTGTCATTTGTACTAGACAGCCCAGGGACCAGTTGGCTGATTCTGAATGAAAACCGGTTTGGCGGGCAGGAGGACAGGACTGAATATTTTGTCTGCAAATATAAAAGAACAGCAAATATGGACCCAAAGTTTTGGTGCGAATTGTGTGTTGATAGTTTGCTTTGGACTGTGGCAAGTGATGGAAGGTTTCAGATTCTTTTTGTTCAGTGAATCCCTCGCAAAATCACAAATGAGGGAATTTGCAATAAATATCTTGACAGCAGCAACTAGGAAGAGAGAGCAGCACGCATCAAGAGTGACTGTGACGGTAGATTAATCTGTATACTTCTGTATTGTCTCGCGTATTTTGTTTAATAAACAGTGAATCAATATTTATTTGTTTCTGTATTTGTGTTTTTTTTTGTTTCCATTTTTGCAATAAACCTCTTTAAACCGGAGCCTGCGTGCGTCCAGTCTGTTACAGAATAGTCAGTCTCCGGCGATGTGAACTCACAACAATGGCAGCTGTATGAACATCTGTAAACTCTCAGTGCCCTATCCGCGTGCATCGTCTCTGTGCCACATTGCAAAAACCAAATCAAGCAAAATCTTCTGTAAAATAAGCAGAATAAAAGGTTATATTTTGGGGAAACAAAAAAACTGCCCTGAATATTAAGACGCCTCCAATCGTTCATCTATTTTATTCGTTGCAACTGTGGTTACTCTGCACCACCAAAATGGTCCCGGGAAACACGGCGAGATTTTAAGCACCAGATGAATGAACGTAGTGCAGGGACTGTCGGCTCCAAAACAGTTTTCAGCCATGTCATGTGTCTCGCTGCGATGTTCAAAGGTAGGTTAGTAACCAAAACCTGAGTGTTTCATACTTTGTATCATTGCTACTGATTGGAGTGTCAGTTCTAAGCAGCTAACTACGCAAAGACAGTGAGTACGCCTCCCAAGTACTTCATTAACTGTAAAGAGCTTTGACACATTGGGTGAAAAGCGAATTGAGTCTTTTTTAAAAAATGTAATAGGAATTATTAAAGATATCTGAAGCATAATGGGCGAATTCGTCTTCTATTGGGGAGTTTAGTCTGAAATGTTTCACTTTCTTACTTTCCCATTCAGTTTGGAAGCAACAAAGACAAATTGCAACAAAATGACAGAAATTGTAGTCACCCTCATAATCACCTAATGCCGGACCCTTGTTTGGTATCAATCCCCGCTTCAAAACGGCTGTTCTAACACAGTCACTTTAAAAGGGAGTTGTTTGCTCTACAGATCGTCACCAGTTAGAAGCTACAAGTTCTCATACACCGTCTCAGATACTTTAAACCCCCAGAGTTTTTTCTTTATATATAATATCCTAATCGTCCGAAAGAATACTTGCAAAATAAAGCCTGTTTTTCAGTCCCGGAGAGTTTTGGCTGTAGAGAATTTGTGCCCTCCCCATCACCACGTAAAAAGACCTCGAAAAAAGTAAAACAAAAACGTGAACTCCTACAAAGGAGAACCCCCCCCCCCCACCAATCCCTCAACTGACACTGGACATGCTGTGGCGCCAGTTTTCTGGGGGTTGTGAAAATCAGCGGGAGTTGGAATCTGAAATGAATGATACCCTAACATGAATAAATCTTTTGAACTAAAAGCAAAACACTGCGGATGCAGGGGATGTGAAATTTAAAACAAAACAGGGATCACTGGAGAAACTCAGCAGGTCTGTGGAGTGAAATTGAGATGTAATCTCTGTTTCTCTCCCCGATGCTGCCATTGAGATGATATGTTAATCTCTGTTTCTCTCCCCGATGCTGCCAGACCTGCTGAGTTTCTCCAGCACTTTCAGTTCGCATTTCCTTGTAACACTCACCTTCGAAAGAACATTTCGTGGGTTTATCCGGGATGTACTGGTCTCTATAAAAACTGCGAATGATAATACAAATTAACTCAGTTAGAGGGATGGTCTCTTGGCGTTCATCTGACCAGTGTAGTGACTAGTCCTGGTCCAAGCAAAACCAGCTGTTTAGTGAAAAGGAAAAAAAAACAATTTCTCTCTCCACAACTATCGGAACTGTTTATGTTTTTTTTAGAAAATGTTTCTATTCTAGATTTCCAGCATCCGCAGTGTTTGCGGTTCTGGAATCGCTGCAGTTTTGCCTTGTTTTTACCGTTTGTTCGCTTAAACGAGGAGGATCTATCTACTTGTTTGCTAAGGTCTACCCGCAGTCCCTGAGTTAAACACAGTCACTAGGCTGAATGTGAATAGGTGGGGAAGAGGTGTATGGAGAGCGGGGCGGGGGTGGGGGAACATTTTTATTGTTGCCATCAGATAAGGGGCGAGGAAGAAAATGCTGCACACTAGTATCTGCAGCAAGGGATTAAAACAAAAACATGCTGACACTGCGCAGATTCAGTGGAAATGTGCCTCGTTAAGATTATTCATCTTAACCTACAGCTCAATTTCAGGGCAAGGAAACTTGTTACCAATGGGTAGAAAGTGGAGCAAAGTCTGTATGTGTGTGTGTGTATCAATACACAGAGCTCCGCTGGAATCGAAGCGGATACACGAACACACAATTCACCGAAAAGTCATTTTAAAGCCAATGAGACGTGGAGACTTCGCTGTTAGCGTCTCCCTCAGTAGCGTCCCCGACTTCTTCGTTAATTTCGGAAAACTGTATACAAAGAAAAACCTTACGGTTATTCATTTTGTTCAACTGCTCCCTGAAATAGAATTTGGATGCACATAAATTTTCGATGCGATTTTGATTATGATTCAGTCACAGAGGACGGATTTGATAAGGTGTTAAATGCCTCCTAGGCGCGACCCCTAGGGCTTTCTCGGCTCTTTCAAGCAAGACCTAAAACATCCAGCGGAGACATCTGTCTGTAAAGGTCTCAAGGTCTCTGGTGACCTTGGTCCAGTAGCACAGGTAGCACAGAGATGAGCGGTCAGTGCCTGCGCGGTTAATGTCGCCGGGTGACTGGGTTATTGCATTGACACTGGGGGTACAATCTCAGCAGCCCGAATGAGCAGTTGGGACATCTATCACCCCTTGTGTATTTTCAACTTCACGCACTATCGCTAGGCAACATGGAGATTATAATGTCCCAACTGCTGTAAGAAATATACGAGCCAGGTAAGCAACTGTAACATAGGCGCAAAACATGATAGATAAAAGTCGAAATAATGGTATACACCGTTGATTGTCAGGGTTGCACATTACCCCAATCATTTGACTTCTACATGTAAGTCTCACTCCACTGCCCAGGTATCGATGTCTTTTTTTTTAACCTGGCCTCCTAGCTCACTCGCCTTGCTGTGACTTGAATGAACGGAACCGACCTTAACACGAGAGGTGACAGGAGTGATGGGAGGAGGGTTGGGGTTAGAGAGAGAACCCGGCAGAACTTCAATAAGAAGCAACTTATTACTGGAGGGGGTGGCCGGGGAAATCTGGGTCCCTGTACTGGCGGCTTTCCTGATACTACTCCGAGATCACCTGAGAAAGTGTACACACAGACTCACGGACACACACACACTCCCAACCACACACAGACACATACCCACCCACCAACACACACACAGGCACAAACACAGAGACTCACAGACACCCATACCATTCACACACACACACACACACACACACAGATCCACGTGTACATAACCCAGCCTCACCTAGAGACTCATAGATACCCATACACACTCACACAGACTCACCCATCCATGCACACATACATACCCAACCACTATACATAGACCCACGCACACAGATTCACAGACACACATATAGACCGACCCACACACAGATTCACCCGCACACACTCAGACTCACATACAGAACTACTCAGGCACTGACCCACCCACTCACGAACTCAACACAGAAATTCACACTCACGCTCAAGCACACATTCACCGACACATACACACATAGACTCAGATACCCACAAGATAGCAGCCGGATCAGAAAAGTCACGAATAGTTAAAAGATAATCGAGTTCTCGACCTCCTCTCAGCCAAAGTGATTGAAGTCCAAGTGAAGTCGCCAGTGTGACACTGTCGATGTGAACACAGCTTAACCCGCGCCACCCTCTGTAACCTCCTTCGGTAATAACCGTCACCACAGTAAGGCTAATGCTAATCACAGAAGCTGCCGCTCTAGCCCAAATGAGTTTTCTAAAGCACATCAAATGCACGTTAAAAGCTTGGCTTGTTTTTTTTTTCACATTCACGTTTCAATAAAAGCTATATTCTGCTCAGAAAGGGGACCAGTGGAAATGATTTAATTGCATTTATGCAAATAAGCGAAGCAGTCAATAAAAGGAGGGGGAGAAAAAGCTCCATTCAGCATTTTTAATGCAAGGGCAGTAATGTATAAACAAAATGGTTGTGTTGAACAGGCTGGGGGAGGTGATTGAAGGGGTCCCCTGAGGGATGTGAATGTCATAGGATCTTGCAATATCACTTACGTGAAATTTAATATGAGCAAATACTTCAGCATCCAAATGGGATTTAGCTTATGAAAGCGGGGTCTGTGTACAATACCAGCTAACCCTGGTATGTGCGTGGTTGGTTTGATTGTAGTTCTGTCTTAGCTAGAAGGAGGTTTTGCACGCACTGAGGGTTATTTGGACCAAATTAACCCATACTGCATAGAAAGTCATTTGCAGTTAACAACAAAAAAATCGCGTTTGTAATCATACTACATCAGCCAAATTGATTTTCTATAAAGTTCTCACACTGATTGTTAGAAAGTTAAATTACAAAACCAAGAGGCAAAGAACAGAACTTAATGCCCAGCCTTCTTTCAAGCTCTGATTTGAAGAAAATCTTATACAGGGTAGTTCTCCCATTTGAATAACTTAATTATCAAACACCTATTAAACAAAGGTGAGGACAACAGAAACTTTGCAAATGCTTCTTTACAGGGAAAGGAAAGCAATAAAGGAAAATGAGATCAGAATCAAATGCAACAAGAAGGCAAAATTAGAGTAATTTTTAATAACATTTTAAAAATAAAAAGCAATAATGCAATCACACCCTCTTCCCTGTCAGTATTTATTTATTGCAGTTCTAAAGCTGTTGGATAATGAAAAAAATGCTGTTTATCTTATGTTGTGGCTATTTATTTCATGCTACAGTGACCATATGTTTAATGGAATTCATTCCTGACTCTAATCATTGTTTCCAAGCAGCCATTATTGCCCTAGATTTTTTAAAAGTCCCTATGTTTTGTCCCTTGGTTTGATTCTGTTGACACCCTGCTCCCACCTGTTCCACATTGCAACAAGCATGAAGCATGTCAAACACTTAAAAAAAGCTTTGGGTGCACAGGAGGTAGAATCCCATGACACTATGCATCATATCTGTAACAGAGTTTCAAGAGTGTGTAGCA